GTAAGTGGAGGGTGCTATGTGCGCGGCCTGAGTTGTACCACTTGTTTACTAAATTGGGGTGGGGTGGGGTGGGGTCTTTAAACTTTGGTCTTTTGCATGGAATAAAAAAGGAAAAAAAGTATGTATTTGCTTTTCAGCTTTTTCATCTAAAACTGGCACGTGAATAGCAAATATCCCTAAACCAAGACTGAATTCCATCATCATCAGGATGTATTAGAATCACCTTCTTTTCTATTTTCATGTCTTGTGCTTTGTCCTCACAAACCATTCCTTAGTAGGCGCTTTCTTACTTAATATCGATACGCTGAATCAATGATTTGGATCAAGCAGGGTAAGTGCTTGACCAGAACGCCATTTTTACAAGAACATAATATCAAGTGCGTTATACAAGCTGAAATTAAAGGATGGGGAAGGCGGATCTGAAGTAGGGGCAGGGGGAGTAACTTTTTTCTGTTATGATCTATGGGATAATAAACTAAAATCATTTGACTTGTGATATGTATTTGTAATTGCACATAAAAAGAGTAGTACTAAAATGTGATTGCCTGTATTGGCATATAAAGATATATCAAGATATAAAAAGAACCAGCAGGTACGACATTCGACCTTCCAGCTTTAATGGGCATGACGCCACCGTATGATAAGGCCCTTCCTTAATTTGCGCTGCGGTTTCATTTTCTTTGTAGCGACACCTCAGCCAATAGGTGTCCATATCCGTAACCCCACATGAACAATGATTTAATGTCAAGACAGGAACAAATATTAAAATAACTGAATAAAACAAAACAAATACATGTAAATTGCAAAGAACTCAAAAACCTATTTGTATTGAATGAATGCATTTGCCTAATTCATCTGTGGTGATGTTGAAATATACGTTTGTTCTTCATTTTATCTTCTTTCGTTTTTCCTTAGATTGTTTTGACTCTGGATGTCATGGGAATAACGATACGAACAATGATGACTGTATGGATAATGATAGTAGCATAACAAAAGAAGAATAATGCGAGAACAATGAAACTGTATGGATAATGTAGTAGCAAACAAAAGAATAATGATTTTTATAACGAAGCAGGAAAAAATAAGGTAAATATTGACGATTCTTAAAGTCTTATGTTTAATTACTGAAGTTCAAAGTCTAAACATTTAAAACAAAACCTGAAGGGCATATCGAACATAAAAAAGTGTGTCTCGATCATTTGCTTAGTGATAGAGACCTAAACCGGAAGGAGAAATTTGGGACACCTATGGCCGCCTGCGTTCGGTCACGTCTGCCCAGGCACGATGCGGGCGCCGCCGGAGATCAAACGGAGGGCGAGAGACACGTGCTTTGCCGCTTCTTGAGGGACATGTACAGGTATTTAGCATCCCCATGGTAGGTCTAGGTAGGATAACAAATGCAACATTTTGGTATACATATGTATATTTGCAGATTGTGGGTTTTAAAGCACAAGGAAGGTGCGATTCGATTCCGAGCCTGACGACCGTTAGAAACCATAATTACATTATTACTTGCACAGTCGGCTGAATCTTGTTAGTGCATGCTGGTAGGCTCTACTGATTCGTGAATATTTTTTGAGGTTTATCAAATTTAAAATCTTGCAACATTCAGCTGCAGTTGCCTTGAGCAAGTCTGCGTTGTCAATAGGCCTACTTTTAGGTTACATACCAAAAGCATAATCAAATCATTTTTGTTAATGCATACGATTTTGTCTTTATGTTTTTTTTGTAGCAAATCTAGTGTTTGAGATGTAAAAAAAAAAAAAAACTTTAAAGGAACGCAAAGGATCTCCCCTAAGAATCCTACAAATTAAGCCTATCTTACGTAAGAAAATAAATCATACTCCATGTCTTCGGGGGATCTGAATCAGTCTTTTCCAAATGGGCTTCTCTTTGAAAATCCCCTACGTGGATCAGTCAAGACACGTGGTTGAAATCACATCATAGCGTAGTAGTCAAGGTAGGTAATCCTTCCTCCCTCCTTCCCTTTTCCCCTCCCACTCCCTTCCTCCCTCCCTCTCCCTCCTTCCTCCCCTGCAACACCCTTCCCTCCCTCCTCCTTCCTTCCCTCTTCCCCTCCAACACCCTTCCTCTCTCCCTCCTCCCCTACCCCCACCCTCTCCTTCCTCCCTCCCTTCCCTCCTTCCCTCTTCCCCTCCACACCCTTCCTCCTTCCCTCTTCCCTCCCACCCCTTCCTCCACCCCCTTCCTCCCTCCCTCCTCCCTCCTTCCCTCTTCCCCTCCAACACCCTTCCTCCCTCCTTCCTCCCCTATTCCCTCCCACCCTATCCCCACCCTCTTCCTTCCTCCCTCCCTCCCTCCACTGACGACAGATATAGTAGATATAGAGTTCTCTGAAGTTTGTTTCCTATCTTGCTTATACATAGATGACTTTTTGAGTTCTTAGTCACCAAAGGGTTAATCACCTGGCCTACCTGATCGTATCTGTTTACCGCGTTACGTGAATGTTCGAGAAAAGGAATATATATTTTCCAGCTAGGCTCATAATTCTTAATGTTATCATTATGATTACCATTATCATTATGACATATTCAGTAATAAATTGAGATATATATATATATATATAATATAATATATATATATATATATATATATATATATATATATATATATATATATATATATATATATATATATATATATATATATATATATATAGTATATATATATATATATATATATATATATATATATATATATATATATATATATATATATATATATATATATATATATATATATATATATATATATATATATATATATATATATATATATATATATAGTATATATATATATATATATATATATATATATATATATATATATATATATATATATATATATAACAACAAATATAATGTATACTCTATAATAAAAATATGATATACACATTCGCGTAAAAGCTTTAAGAGATATAGTACATTGATCCTGCCTCTAGTTCTAGGAGAGAAAGGTGAGGCGGGTGTTTATATTCCGAGAAAAGGGAAAACGCAGGTCTAACAAAATGATCGGAATGTCAGATTAGGTCACTTGGTAGTCAGCAGACACAGGTCAGGTCATACTTGACCCTAAACTGAAAATGTAAACAAGTGACGATGATATAAGGGGTGGGGGGGAATCAGTGCATACGCCATAGCTCCATCAGTTCAGGAGACCGAAACGTTGTTTGTTAATAAGTATGAACTCATGCGTAGGCTTAAATAGCAAGCACAAAGGACCCTAACAACTCTATAATCCATTTGGTTTTCCTCACTCCGCCGCTGGTGACAGAAAATATTGTTGTCATACCTACCTGTGGACATCAAATACTTGCAGAGGAAGATACTGTTGACATGTTGAAGTCGAGGCAATAGTCACACCATAGCACTGAAGAAGTCTGGAAGATCAGACTAGGTCGTGGCGGACGCATCTCCCCGGCATAAATGGGTGTGGAACAAGCCAAGGTCTACATAAGTACTTTTATAGACCTTGGGACAGACAGCAGTACGGGCTGCTGATATGGAGGGAGAGGAGGAGGAGGAGGAGGAGGAGGAGGAGGAAGGAGGGAGGAGGAGGAGAGAAGGAGGAGGAGGAGGAGGTGAGGAAGAGGATGGGTAGGGAGAGGGGTGAAGGGGGGAGGGGGAGAAGGTCATACTTGACATTAAGACGAAAATGCTTAAATGGACCAATGGATTGTCGAACAGGATTACATCGCAACTCCATGAATTCGTGGATAGTTTTGCAGTATTGCAAATTGTTTACGCTACCTTAAGGACTTAACTGGGGCGCTTAGCACTATAGGTCTAGAAGTGGTCTGCATAGTTATCATAAATCAATCGTTGTCGAATCTGACGTTTTGGAAACTTATGTGTCGATATCATTTGAAGAGCATGAATAGAACGCAACATAAAAAGCCATATACGGACATAAAAGGCGAAAATATCGTTTGCTAATCCTATGTAATAAAAAAATGCTCGTAAAAGATTTATTATCTTATGAAGCTAGACGTATTCTTCTCATGTTGGCATTAGAAAATATAGGGAGCCTAAATTAGGCGCTGATAAATAAGTATATCGCATGAACATCTTAATTCAGAATAGACACAGAGATGCTATGCCATTTAAGATATAATCTAAGTTTTAAGAGATGAAGGAATACATTTCACACACACACACACACACACACACACACACACACACACACACACACACACGCACACGCACACGCACACGCACACGCACACGCACACGCACACACGCACACACACACACACACACACACACACACACACACACACACAACACACACACACACGCACACGCACACGCACACGCACACACACACACACACAGCACACGCACACGCACACACACACACACACACACACACACGCACACACACACACACAAGGCCTTCTTTGCTGCATCCTGAAACCCCAAACACTTCGATACATTGATGTTATACCGTGGTCGCTACAAAACACGATAACATCGACGCTTGTGCTTAATTTCCCATATGAAAAGTCGATAGAAGACTATTAAAGATACTTGATTTACTGGCACGATTTTTAACTATAAGCAAAATGTAGAAGCTTCAAATAAAATGGAAAAAGTACTTGATTTTTCTACAAATATGATCGTTTATACACTTTTTTCGCTTCGCAAGGTTGTTTTTTAATGTATTTCTCAGATTGAGCCAAAACATTTTTTTGTTATTACATATATTGCATATAAAAGTTTACTTGAGGTTTTGCATCTCATGTCAACTAGCTAATATCAATGATCGGAAATATTTAGTCTTATTGATTAAATTGCATCAACAAATTAAGATGCACAGTTCATTCTGATATATTTGAGCCTGTAAGATTGCATCATAGAGGTACATAATGATTTTAAAGACATTTTTTCCACCGAAATCGGACTTGTCATGATTGACTTCAAATCTTATCTATACCGAGTGAACACGTATTTGATGTACGGCTTAAAAGACGCAGAAATATTTTATGCAACTATGAAATGGAATTTTATATCCAGAAACTTCCGATGCGATTCGTAATTAATGAAAATATAAATTCCTATCTGAACCTGCATGTAATATGTCTGGAAAATATCGTGCTCTGATTGGTTCGCCGGAGTGTATGAACTGTATAGAGGAAGGGTAAACATTTTGATACAAAAATGTTTTGACTGAATATGAGAAATACACTTGAAAGTTTCCACAGCCTTGCAAAGCGGTGTGGTGCGTGTGGATATAAGTTGAAGAGTAGCCAGGTACTTTTCTCCATTTGAACTAAAGCTTCCATACCAGCATATTAAGTGCTCTTAGGGCTTTCTTTTGACTTCTTTTTACGTGAAAAAACTGCTTCCAAAACTTTTAATAATCGATGATATTGTGCTTTGTAGCAACCATGATAAACCATAAGACAATGCATCAAATTGTTAGGGGTTTCGGGATTATATATATATATATATATATATATATATATATATATATATATATATATATATATATATATATATATATATATACATATATATATATATATATATCATATATATACATATATATATATATATATATATATATATATATATACAGGCACACGCGTTATCTCTCTCTCTCTCTCATCTCTATCTCGATCTCTCTCTCTCTCTCTCTCTCTCTCTCTCTCTCTCTCTCTCTCTCTCTCTCTCTCTCTCTCTCTCTCTCTCTATATATATATATATAATATATATATATATATATTGTGTGTGTGTGTGTGTGTGTGTGTGTGTGTGTGTGTGTGGTGTGTGTGTGTGTGTGTGTGTATACATATATATATATATATATATATATATATATATATATATATATATATATATACATATATATACAAACGCAGACTAACACACATATATATACATATATATGTATAATATATATATATATATATATATATATATATATATATATATATATATATATATATATATATATATATATATATATATATATATATATATATATATGTATGTGTGTGTGTGTGTGTGTGTGTGTGTGTGTGTGTGTGTATTATTTTTTATATGTGTGTTATGTGTGTGTGTGTGTGTGTGTGTGTGTGTGTGTGTGTGTGTGTGTGTGTGTGTGTGTGTGTGTGTGTGTGTGTGTGTGTATGTGTGTGTAGATATGTATACAAACAAACGTGTGTGTGTATATTTACATACATAAGAATGCAGTACTTACACACTGTCTCATATCTATGAAACTGAGGAATATGAGGCAGATTTGTCTCGCTTTCGTTAGAACGCGGTTGTTTATGCAAATTTATTCTTTAGAAACATTCACAGGAAACTCCTTTTTTGTTTGTTTTGTTAGTTTTCTCAGAAATATTTATAATGTAATTATGTGCATTTGTCGGTCCTGAAAAATGAAAACTATTGAGCAATATGGCAAGAAGCACCATTTGCGGTTGCATGCGCGTGTGTATGTGTTTTATGTGATATTATGAAATAGAACATTTTGCCTCTGGTAATGCCGTAGATGTAAACTTTTAATCTGATTTAGTATATGTTAGTACTAAAAAGGCGCTTTATAAGGGAGCATTTATTCTAGTAAATGTTTCATACCAAATCATGCTAATTATCATAAGAAATGAACAATTTCTTGACCTTAATGCCTTCTCTTGCACCATCCATGACTCGTACCAACCTTAGCTCACAAAAAGGAATCTTTATCTTCAACGTAAAATTGTTTTGATAAAGCTCAGCCGTGGGAGGATTGGGCAGGAAAAAATCAGTCATGGCAATCAGTTACATATTCGCCAATGACAGAATCCAAGAGAAATTATATAATGGTATGATTGAGCATGGTAACACCACAATATCATTATCATGATAATAAATATATGTAATATCCCTACGTGGCTACTTAGGCACAGTACAAGCCTAAAACTACAAAATATCAGACACTGCATATTAGGTACATCGTTAAATGGCTATTATAGGATTATAATTGATATTATTTTATACCATTCTTAAACGCAGTGAGATGGGATAGAACTAACAAAAGCACTGATTTTACTGAACTACAACAAATACTGATTATTATTTGATATCAACAGTTCCCAACCTTTTCTCAGCGCGCCGCCCATGCTGGCAAATTGTAAATTCTTATCGGCACATGAAACATTCCATTATTCAGAAGTTGCAAAAATCTCACCCAAAGCTTCGTCACATAGTACAAGCTAAATGCATATGTGCACTCGCGCGCTACCTCAAGTAAACCAAGACAGTGAATATGAGTCTCTGCGCCCCTCCTGTGGTTGGGAACTACTGTTCTGTGTGACCCTAACATTTATCATTCCTGACAGAAAGGTGTGCCTTTGTGTTCTATCTGAGAATCGGGTTACACTAGAGGACACACGAATTCTATTGCCCTATGGCAGTCATGTCCTCAATGACTAGCTAAGCGCATGCCTTTCCGGGGACGAACTACTCGACATCCATGTTCTCTCTTTTTTCTATCTTTCAGTTAAGTATGTGCTTAGAACTCGAATTACAACAACGGCGAGCAAGTTCATAGACCATGTCGTGTGGCAAGTCTCTGGAAACACATGCCGGTCATTAATATCACATCATAATACTGATTATCGTTATTCTTAAAGGCACACACTGTGTATGTGACTCATCTACATATAAAAGGCAGGAACAACATCACATGCCCTATCATAATCATCCCTGCAACCTTATAAAACTATCACTCCAAGTAGACTAGTTGAAGTATTACCTAGTTTAAGTCCAAAAGAACATCAATGCTATATACATATATAAAAGAGGTACACTTAATAAGCAATTTGTGATATCAACAATCTGCGTGATATCGACACATATTTGTACTTGTACAAAGAAATACCAACACCAGAAGAAAACCAATTCCGGTAGATACAGAATGCCAGATCTAATTAGATATATCAGTCTCTTTAGATTCAAACACCACCATTTTGTACTTTACGGAAAAAGGACTATACATTTCCAAGGGTAAAAAAAAAACTATTAGAGGCAGCCTACACCGGCATGAGCATGGGGTTCTTGGAGTCCTCGCCGAAGTCTGGCCGCTGCGAGTGTCTCACCTCATACTTCGTCCCTTGAAGAAATTGGTTGGAATTATCTGTCTTGGGATTGTCCCTGTCGCTTCCACTACTGATGCGGAGGGTGTTCATCCTAGGGAAGACCTTCTGCAAGTACTCGAGACAAGCCAAGCGGTAATGCTGGCTCATGAGGACGTAGATGATCGGATCAAGGCAGAACTGCAGCCAGAACACGACATGGAGGAGGAGCCAGGTCTGAGGGTGCTTCGCGTGGAGGTGGAGCACGTGGATCACCAGGTGGGGCACGCTGCACACCAGCAGGAGCACGAAGAGTACCAGGATGGTGCGGGTGACATGGTCGTCCCACTGGCGCATCACGTTCGTCCCGTCGCTGAGGCTGGCTTCGTCGCCGGCCTTCGTGCGCGCGCCCGGACGCCGTCTGCGGGTTTGGCGAACCTGCGCCGGAAACAGTATTATTATTATCATTATCATTATTATTATTGGTTATTGTTGCTATTATTATTTTCATTATCATCATTTTTATTATCATTATCATTATTGTTATCATTATCATCATCATCATTATTATTATTATTGTTGTTGATATTATTATTAGTATTATTGTCATTATTATCATCATTATTATTGTTATTTTTACGATTATTACGAAAGAGACTCCCCTTAAAATGTAGGCCTACACACAATCCTCTCGCAATCCAGAAAGAAACTCACCTTAAAATACATGACGATGTAACACACGCTCGTCAACATGATGGGTAGAAGGTAAGTCAGGAACACGTGGAAGGCTTTCCCGGTCTTGCGAGGAGAGTCGTCCTTCATGGAAACCATCAGCTCTTTGGGGACATAGACCAATCTGCCCTGTTGCGTGAGGTGTGTTGGTTACTTAAGTTCGTTTTGAGTGGGTTTTGCTTAAGTTTAGATGACGATTGTGTTATGTTTGGGGTTGTTCATTTAGGGGGGGTATATTAACATCTTTGTGTCGAAGGACGGTTTTCTTGCATATAAGGGGATGGATGATCTTGATATGTTCAGATGATTTTTTTTATACCAAGGGGCGGTGTTTAATCAAAAGGGGATTATCTTAGGATTTATTCGTTGTTTACATCTATAAGTCAACGGGCGTTGTTTTGGCTCATTTGTTGTGTGAGTATCAAGTGGTGTTTGGAAGAAGGTTATCTTGACTAGATTTAAGCGTCCGGTACATTTACATGATAAGGTACTTTGTTTACATTACTTTTACCAGGTTTAAACTAAGTGGGTGTTTTTTCTTTCTTTTTTGTTGTCTTTTCTTCCTATTTTCTTTTTTTCTTTCTAAGTGTGTTTTTTTCTTTCTTTTTTTGTCTCTTCTTCGTATTTTGGCGTTATCTCATGAGCTTTCATTCAAAGGACGTCGCTTGCTTCTTATATACGAGTTCGATGCTTTTCATTTCACCTTGACAGCTGTCATCTTTTTTTCCAAACCCCGGACCTCCCAGGTTTGGGAGTGACGTCACAGATTGCCACTGCCGGGCGCAAAAGGTGCGGCGAAACTGTCCTACTCTTCAGTCTAGAAACGGCGCCGCGGGAATCAAACCAAGACCGTGTATAAAATCTAACGGCTTCTCCTCCCCCGCAGCCAACGGATTCTTTTCCGGACAAAGTGTTTACGGCTGGAAATAATGCAAATTTACATGGTTGCATTTTTTGAGCTTGTAAATTGTTTTTTTTTTTCCCTTGAAGTACTATTGCAAAGAGATATGAACGTTGTAAGAGCACAATAAGCACCGGTGACTGTTGCCTGTTTAGCGATTTTTTTCTTGCTTTAATTAAAAATAATTTATTCTAACTGGCACTTGACCTAACGCTCAGTGAAGGGCCCTGGGGAAGAAACACTGTCATGCAAGCGCAGACCAGGAGATGGGCTCCGCCTCTAGAAACGATGACGTCATGAGCCCTTAACGTGTGGCAGCAAAACCGGAATGCGAAGAATTCGCGTCTGGGCTAAAACTCCGGACGTCCCGGGTTAAATTACAAAGGAGATGACAGCTGTAGTATCTTACTCTTTCAGAATGAATTGTCTTAATAGAAATTAGATGTTTGTTACATTTCTATTCCTATTCGTGTTTTTTGTTTGAAAGGGGAACTGTTCGAGGTTTCATATACTTGATGTTAAAGGATTCGCAGGGTAGGTGCAATGTCAGGGCGTGTTACAGTGGTCTCTGTTGGAGATAACTGATAGTCTTTCTAGTTCCTGATGTATTTCGTAATAGGTTGGCTATTAAGGCGTCGTATCGTAAGAATGAAGAGGTTGACTAACACAGTCGTTAAAAATTTCATCTTCATATAGACGTTTCGAAGGAAAACTAGACCTTCATCATCAGTATTCTTCACGACTGGATTGGTCTACATTCATTTTTACGAAAGCCTTCCTTGAGATGTGCGTTGGTAAACTCTCATGAACTCTTACGAAAAGGTGAATGGCTCGAGATAAGGTTTTTAGCAAATCAGTTTTAAACTATTTGTGCAATCTTGTAAGCTATGAGCAATAATTCACAGATTTGTGTGTACAAAGTCGAAATGAAACAAGTTATTCACCTGCTTCTAAACGTCATGGTTTATCTCTGTGCCCGTTTCATTTCATTTCTGAATGATTTGTTTCATAAACCTGGAAACTAAGGATTTCTTATACCAGTATGGATATCAATAAAAAAAAAAAAATGAATTTTATTATGTTCACAAGAACTGTAACCAGGAAGTGATCTGGACGGGAGATTGTAATATCAAAATTAACTTTTTCGAAACCATAGAGGGTTAAAAAAGAGTACTGTCTACCATTGCCCTGGTCATGGCTATTTGGCCTATGTAAATGCTGTGATTTAATACATGATGTTCAACAAATGGCATTCGTTTATGAAAACCTACCCCGAAGGTGAGAGGCAGCCACAGCAGGGCGGAGTAAATCCATAGCAGTCCCAGGTATACTTTCACAACTTTTGCTTGCATCAGTTGCTTGTACTTTGCCGGCCAAACCACTGCCACCAATCTGCATGAATTAATAAAATGTAAACTGATTAAGAGAATGAATAAATCTTAGGTATTCACAACGGACGAAGTATAAGGCACGCCCAGAGAATGATTCTAACACAGGTATTCTACGTGACTATATTTATCCACAGCGTAGACAAGACCACGAGAAAAGGGCACCGACCTGTTGAAGGCGATGGCGCAGAGGGTATGGAGGTGGACCTGGCTGAAGGTGAGGCCGAGAGCGAAGCCGAAGATGCACACCCATTCCGGCATGAGGACTCTTCCATACCACTGGATCTGGATGCAACCCGCGGCGAACATGGGCAGCCCCACGACGCACACGGGGAGCAGGCAGGCCGGAAGGTTAACCATGAAAGCTGTGGAGGGACTCTGGCGGAGCTGCCGGCTGTTCAGGAGACTCAAGGCGGCCAGCAGGTTCCCTTCGGAAGGGCAGATAGGACAGTGTTAACCCCAATACCGTAGGATGGACGGGTTAAATACTTCTGGCAAATCCCAATCTCACTTCTTAAGGATCACGACGTCATCTAAACCATACTGATATAAATTAAGATAAACATATGCGTTGATAAACATGAGTATGAAAGGAATAAAATCAATGACAAAAGTAACAATATTGGCCCACATAACAATAACAGTAATGAAAATCAATATTAAGGATCGAAAGTCAGAGAATTAACATCATTCTGCTTTATACAGCGGTGGGTGCCTTGCATGCTACAAGTAATGGCATTACTATTACCGTTACTTGCACCAATATGTAATACGATTAAATTGAATTAAATCTGTTAAACAATATCCATTTTCACTCGTATGTTACGCAATAAAGCCAGATCAGTAAAGTGTAATGTCTTAGCATTTTAAAACACCATAAGCTGGCAGACTTGGAATATATTTCCCTTTAAACACTTAAAGAGCAACAAATCTGACAAATGATTTTACTGCAATAATTTACACGCAAAAATACAGTAGAGAAAAGAAATTCTATTGAATTCAAGGATTCCTTGTTTCAGCACTTGGAACAAAACTAAAGAATAAAGATTATGAACCCGCTGTTGAATTTATATAAAATAGAAAATCATTGTATTTCAGATGAATTAGCTTTTCAAAATCAATATCTCAAAGGCCTCAATTCTTAGGTCGGAAAATGTCTTTCCCAGCAGAGAGAATTCTGCCCGACGCTTCACTAGAAGGGGCTCGGTTGTTAAGCTCTACGATGACCGACTTCAAAGCAGCGGGGGGAGGGGACATGACGTCATCACTTTGCTTGACAGGCCCCTGATGACTAATAAAGGGATTGATCAGTATTCAAATTATCTGATACCTTTCTTGATTTTGGGGGTTAGATTGGGTGACACGTAAACCCGGAGAAGGCAACTACGAGACG